TGACATCAACCTCTATGACGTTACCAAAAACGAGAAATACTAAACAATGTCCAGACTACCGCACTATAATCTTGATGGGACATACACAAAAGGACATGTATTTGTGCTTTGTTGATTATAATAAAGCCTTTAACAAATTTCACCATGACTACCTCATAAAACTCCTACACAGAAAAAAGGCTATACTTCAGAGACATTAACAATATTTAAAATCTCTACTATTGCCAGAGAACGATAATTCAGATAGAAGAAAAGACAACTGGGGAAATAGAAATAAAGAGAGGAGTCCGGTAGATTTGTGTTCTTTCACCCATCATTTTAAAAAATTATCGTTAAACACAAATAAAGCCAAATTTATGCTCATAACAAAATCGACAAGGAACATCGGCAATGCATATGCAAGGCGGACCTATTGTAAGAGTTAGAAATTACATTTACGGACTCTTTAATGAAAATGCTGACAGCTCTCAGGAAATAAAAACCTGCATCGAAAAAACCCGGGGCACTTTTATGAAGGTGAAACAAGTATTCTACAGTAGAGGATCTTAACGTGGAACTGAAATTACAACTTATGAGATGTTTTGTTTTATCAGTGAGGTACTATGGCATGGAAGAAAAGTGATGTGAAGAAAATAGAAGCTTTGGAACTTAAAAACTCAAGTAGTAATGACTATTATAAAGAGGTAACTGCTATTCATCGGACACATTATGATGTGAAACAAATATCAAATCCTTGAACTTATAAAGCAAGAAAAAATAAGATCAGTGGAAAGGTAAAGACATTCCTGCGCGGATGGTTCAACACCACCAACATTCGTAACGAAAACGCCACTTGAAGAAGAACAATCAATATTAACTAAAATTTATTACTAAATGCGATTAAACTTTTGTCACAGGAATTCTTAAATGTTAACATGCAATTATTAGCGCAGCGTCGCTTTTTATAGCATTTATCGCCAACCTAATTAGAGCGTAGTTGCTTCTAGTCCTATTTTTACATACAGTTGCAATGGCGAAAAGGAACTTTTCGAATACCAATAAAGTAGAGTAACAGTTCTGTTGAAAGATTGGAGTCTGATCACGGACTTTTGCTCTATTCGGCGCAACTGATGTTACAGATTTCCCAGTTAGTGCGGTTAATGTTACGAAAACCCTTTTGGGTGATTCGGACGCATTTTATACACATTGCATTAAGCGAAACTCTACGATAATCGCAGTATGCGGAAATGCTCAGTGCACAAAAAACTTGTACATTGATCCTATCAATTAACGCTACAAACTAATCAGTACCAATTCGTTCCGCCTACCTCTATAGCGCTGATCCGTATTTGAGAGAGAGAGAGAGTTTTATTACGCAATAGAGATCTGTAATGTTCTATTTCGTTCAATAGAGGTTTTTTAATTGCGGGTTCAATCTATTTAGCAAATTTCAATTTGGAACATCAGAGATTATTTATATGAAAAGGAAAAATAAATATGAAGTTGGAATACGAAATGGTGACTTACACTTAAGACCGGAATAGCCGTTGTACTCAATTCAACACAAATTAAAGAAGAAAAGAATTATAAAAAAAAATTAAGTCACTACAAAAGAAAAATTCACCATCTTCAATCCTGTGCATCATAGTTTCTATTCCTTTTTGTTAGATATTTTTGAAAATCAAATTGTCGTTCTTATGGAATACCCATAATGCTACTAGATATACTGAGGCCTTGCCTATGCTGACTATTCAAGTACTTTCGAAACTAACATCCAAAAATGCTGAGGGCCATTTAATATTAAACATGTGTGTGTGTTAAACCAATAAGAACTTACTAACTATATGGAAATATTTCCCTTAATTCCCCTAATTGCATAAGTTTTTTGACTAAGAGATCAACTTGAAATTGTGTCGAAATGCTGTCAATTATTCGCAACATATTTAATGCGCTGATTCTGCAAAGGAGAGGGATTTAGATATATTCTAATATCTATTTGACCTGCGGCACAAAGAGAGGTTTAAAAAGGTCTATAGGAAAAAGAGGTAAACTATTAAAATTCAAGATAAGCAATTAATTTATTAATTATGATTACTAATTATAAAATAGTAATGTCAAAGTAAATCTTCAGCAGCTTAAGGATTTTTTAACTTGATAAAGTTTATAACATAAATAAAGAGAACGACATTACAACGAAAACCATAATATCCATAGTATAATGTACAATAGTTGTAATGGGCTCAATTTGATTGTCAATCATCGAATATCACTCTCAAAGAACTGGTGAGTGTTGTGACCCAGACCATAATCTCAGAACAATCCAATGAAGGAAAAGCACACATAGCCAGATAAGAGAAATGAAAAAGGAACTTCCTACCACTAGAGAAAATAAACAAACGCAAAAAATCATTCATAATATTTACCTTTGAACCTTTGGTCGCTTCATTCCTGCATAATAAGGACAGTAAAGCATTTTTTATGGCTTCTATGGAAGTTTTTGTGGTGTGTGGTTTGTGGAAAATGCCGCAAGAACAATATTTTATGATGAAATCCATTTCATCGGATTTAAAATATAATATGCAAAAATATTTTAATTGGGTGTACTACAGAGACAGATATCTCAAAGAATATTTTTCTACTCCCGTCTGTAAAATACCTAATTACACACCGATCTGGCGGCAAGCGTCACTTTACCACGTCAGTTTCGTTTTCCACGAATCCGAGCCACTTCGGATATTTCAGGTATTTTACCGCACGGATTTGGGAGCAATCGGATATTTTCGGAAATATTTCCCACGCTTTGAATTTTGACGTTTGTTAATTCTGACGGTCATGTCAGTGAATGTATTCGTGTTGTTTTGCGGAAATGTACCCATAAACTAACAGTCTTAGAAAAGTGTAGTATCCAACACTGCAACACGTTCGGTAAACTTTTTAACTCACTCGTTTATTAAAAACTCGCTCCGCTCGTGTCAAATAAACTCAAGAATCAAATGCCGTTGGCCACACTTGTTGCATAATATACTATTACATTGTGCCTTTAAACTAGGTAAATTAAAGGCTATGAAATTAAGGGCCAGTTAATTATTGTTGAAGTATCTATAAATTGCTGTTGAATGCATTTGTAAAGCTGGTTTGTCGGGAAGTGGTAAGTATGTTGGTGTAGTTCTCCTAAGTAGCTTTAAAGAATAATATGTTTTACATCAAAAGTTATGAATAGGATAATTTTTACTTATTGTTTCTTGAGTGAAATCAAATAACAGAGCGATTTGTATTGAGTTAGAATTTTGAACCGGAAAGCTTTTTTCTTTAAACTGCAAACGACACCAAAGGAATTGTTATTTATAGCAATATTGACATAAAAAATACAACGCAAGCATAAAACTCATCAACTTATTTATACTTAGGAACTATTTTTTTTCAGAGATCTCATTGAAATGTAAAATCGACAATTACGATAAATAGAATCGATTTTGTTTTTTGGATTATTCTTGCCATTTCAAGAAACTGCTGTAACCATTGACCATTGGCCATTGCCGAGCAGACCCTTACCCGTAACCATTTCAGGACTGTCTTAGGAATTTATCTATCTATACTAACAAGCGGGGTATAAGCATGTTTTCAATTTTTTTCGATGAGAAATTCTTGAAACATGTCCATATAAAAATTAGTACAAAGTAACAATTTATTACGTTCTATTTTATTACATTTCTAAATAGGACCATCATTAATATATAGAATATTAAATATAATTGCAAAAAAATATCAGTCACTTAAAAATTCGTCAATATTGCTACTGTCGTCACCTCAAATATTTTCTTCTTTTATTACTCGTTTTTTACAGTTAGATCACCTTTATTTGTACTGTTATTTTAGCTATCTCTTGTCGAATTACGTTTAGAGTACTATCACTAAATTTTGGTGCAGTGTTATATGCGCTTTCAACGCAGACCAAATGATTACCTCCATATCATAGTATATATCATATCACAACTGATGTTTAAGTCTGTCAGTACTTTTTTATGCAGTTCTTCTAGGGTTAAAACGCTATCCACTTTACAAGCGTCGTAGATTATACCCCTAAATCGTCTCTCACTTCCCTGTTGACTATCCCATTTGCAACAATTTTTTCTTATAATTGAATTCGGAATTTTGGTAATGTCACTTGTTTTTCTTATAAAATTGTAAACATTCAACACACACACACACACACACACACACACACACACACACACACACACACACACACACATACACACACACACACACACACACACACACACACACACACACACACACACACACACACACAAACAAAATGATTATTTTCAAACTTACCCGTAAGATAAACTGCTATTAAAATAAAAGCTTCTACTTATTCGGAAATATCTCGCATCATCAATGCTTAATCAAATTTAAAACGGTCCATATACGCTTGAAATAAAAATTTCTACAAATAATCATTACGGTCCATCTCAGGCAAGACCTACTTAATGCAGAATAAACATCTGTTGAGATGGGTTTGACCGCGGTCCTGCGAAGGTCTGCGGTTAAGGTACTATAAAATACTTAAAACGTCAAAGCAATAAAAGAATTATATTTTTGGTCGTATTATAACTAGTTAACTAGATACGTAATAGTTTTGCGATTTATAGTTGGAGAATCTTTATCTGTTCTCCATGGTTGAGTTTATTGCTCCGGATGTCATAGAAGTTAAATATAACAATAAATATAAATATAAACAAACTTAAACGAATGAAACTAATTGGGAATTGCCCTAGTTGCACAAATGGCGGATGCCCTTGTTAAAAAGTGTTATTTCGTACAGTTACATACAATTTCCTACAACTATTGTTTGTTATTAAATCCTATTCTATTCATACATTTATCACGCGCATTGCAGTCACACAAACCAAGTTCACCAAATATTTTGCCGCATCGTCCGTTAGTGTAAATAAAACAGATTAAGGGAAATGGGCTTTTCCCAAAATACCGGAAAGAGCCGGAACGTCAATAATTTACTACCACGTACCAATTATATTTAGGATAACCTTGACATTCCTGGTTGGCGTCTGTCTGAAATCGACCCGGCAATAATAAACGCCAGCATCGCTGTCATTTACGTTGTCCAGCGTCAGTTTCGCCGGATGATCCTGAACCCTAAAGAATGCCCTTTCGATTCCCAGATAATTTTCCGCGACCCACCGTTTGCCTTGTTCCAGCGGTTTCTCCCTTGCGTCGATCCTGTAACAAATGTCGATAATTTACTTCTAGTTTTATAAAATATTTAAGGCGGTTTTACGGGAATTAAACTAGTTATATATTAATTTATTGAAATTATAATTTTAAAGTAAATTATAGGTTTCCTTGGTTTCCATTGATTGATTTATTGGACAAACTCATAAATCACGCTGACTTTCTGTTATCTTCTTTTTATTTAATTTTTTAAATCCATTATTTAAACTTATACACGGCACTGGGACTCGACATACGTGAATTCAATATAGCAGTCCAAATTTTGGTGTGTGCATAGGTTGTGAAGAATTGAATTAAAAGAGGAAAAAAGATAACAGAAGGTAAGTGTAGTTCGTGGTCCGACTAATCAGTCAAGAGAAAACAAAGAAACTAATAATGGAAATGGAAAACACACATAAAAATTATCTTCCAATGAGCATCCATTCAGCACATTAACCAAAACGGACACCTCTGGGTACCAAGTGTTTCATCGAAAGAAAGTTAAATGAATTTACATAGATGGCCATGAAAAACAAGTCTTTCTGCACTGTCAAGCAAAGCGTTGATATTTCAAAGTCTTACAGTTTAATTTTATGTTTTTTATATTATAAATGTTAGCAAGTGATTTTCTTATAAGCTGCTAAAAACACTAACAGAGAATCCCAAATACTTTTCACACAACTTCTGGGTTTCTCCTGCATCGGTTTTTGTTGAGTCGAACTTGCTAACTTTTCGCCAATCAGCCTGGGCTTTTTCAGAGCTTAGCTCTGAAGAAACCAACAGGGTGATTGACGAAACGTCAGCAAGTTCGACTCAACAAAAACCGACGCAGGAGGAACGCTGAAGTTTTGTAAACAATATGACAGTAGCATGTGGAAGCTTCTTTGAAAATGAGTATCCCAAAGCACGAAAATATAAGCAAATATATTTTAATGTAGAAATTCCTTCTGATCCCCTTTGCTTTGTTGCGATTTTTTTTTCGATAAAGGGTGTTTTGATGGCTTTTATTGAAATCGGTAGGAAATATTATATTATGACAAACTGCATTGGACTCACGGTTTATTTGATATTCAAGCTCAAATGCTTAATAAACGAATGTAAGATGTTTTTTAACTGGGATATATAATATGTTGTTACATTACTTTTTACAAAACTTTTGGATTCCTCCTACGTCTGTTTTTGCTGAGTCGAACTTGCTGACGTTTCGCCAATCATTCTGTTGGCTTCTTCAGAGCTTGACTGAAACTGATTAAGCCAACAGGATGATTGGCGAAACGTCAGCAATTTCGACTCAGCAAAAACCGACACAGGAGGAATCAGATCTTGACTGAAACTAATATTTTACTCTGCTTATATATTGTTTGAGGAGGGCGGAGCTAAGTTAGGGACATAAACATCATCTCAGATGACTGACTCCCATATTGATGACAGGTAGAGACCTGAGTCGCGGTTAAGATTGTTAGGTTGCTTATAGATTTCTATAGACTCTAGGATTTTTCGCTGATTACATGCCAGAATTTCAGTTTTATCGAATAAAATTTTATGTCTGGTTTCATGAGTGTGTCCTTCAACAGTTGATGGGTTTATTAGTCTTAGTAGTAAGGCTCTTTAGTATTCTTTGGGTATAGTTGATATTTTTCGTCGGGTCTCTCCAATGTATTCTTTGCCGCATATGCATGGAATGCTGTAAACTTCTGGTATCTCACATGGAATTTTGTCTTTGACGAACCGAAGATGTTGGTGGCTGGAAGTGGTAAATCTAGTTTTGACGTTATACTTCTTTAGAACTTTTGATATGTGGTCAGTGATGTTTTGAATGTAAGGAAGTACATTTGCGACTGTGGTCCTTCCTTACATTCAAAACATCACTGACCACATATCAGTCATCCGAGACGATGTTTATGTCCCTCATTTAGCTCCGCCTCCCTCAAACAATATATAAACAGGTACAGACTAAAATATGAGTCAGTTTCAGTCAAGCTCTGAAGAAGCCAACAGGATGATTGGCGAAACGTTAGCAAGTTCGACTTAGCAGAAACCGATGCAGGAGAAATCCAGAAGTTTTGTAAAAACTATACAGTAACCTGTGGAAGTTTCTTTAAAAAAAAAAGTTACATTGTCTATTTTGTTACATTTCATTTCGATTAGAGCTCTTTCAAAAGCGTGTGAATGACCTCTTGGATAAATTTAATGTGTACTTGCTTCAGCGTTTGAAACATTTTAGGTTAGGTTTTGACAAAACGCAAGTTATTTATAAGATCTTAATCTTTCGATATCATAAACCTTAATAAAACGACCCAATAACGAAACTATCTAAATAAATAAAAGTGAAACTTTTTCAATGCCATGCATTTTATGTGATAAAAAAAATAAATAAATAATAAGCATTCGTTTATGCATCATAATATGACTGACGTTTGATATAGATTATTAGAATAAACTAGTTTAATAATGTTTTGTTAATTTTTTAGCATGTTGCTAATTAGTTGCATTTTTAAATATTTACGTTTATTATTTGTTATGTGTGAAAAATGTGATCTTCGCAGCATAATACAGGATGATTCATTGGCTGATATACATACTTTGCCCGCATATAGAGGGTAACTGAGAGTACCGAATCATAAATTAATGGCAGTTTAATTAAAATGAAACAAGATCATGGTATATTAAATTTTTGCAAATTTGTTTCAAGATTTGTATATCTAGTTATCCTAGATTTACAGCCAAGAAAAAATTAAAAACTAATGGATCACTCTTTACATGTATATCCAGCATTTTATAACACTGTGATCGCGAAAAAATGTACCTAGAAACTTTTCACGATAGTATTTTGTTTTCACCAGGCTTCTCCTAATCTGCTTTTTCGGAAATGCCACTAAGCTATAAAGGCCGCGAAAATACAGACACATAATCCGAACTTGTTGCTTTCATATGACAACAGATCACTTTGTATATAGACAACTGTTCAAATTAGTTTTAATGGGGTCTGTCTACCTACATAAAGTTGTAAAGAGAATTTTTAACAAGCAAATTATAGCAAATACACGCAAACAAACTAGAGACATGGACGACATTAATCATATAAGGAACAACAAAGGCTAACATATTTGTAATTCCCTTTGCTACAAATAATAGTCCGCATCCGCATGCTGTGTCTTCGGTGAAACATTCCTGGAAGATATAATTTTAACGGAATTCGATGTCGCTGTGTTTAATAAACACTTGCCTTTGGTGCGTTAATTTAATCAGAAGACTTCCATTTTTGATTCAATTACGCAGACATAGGCATTTGCGAGATATTATTTTAAGCATGATTCACAATTACTTGCTAATTATTATGTGGGTCAATGAGAATTATTGTTGCGTTATGAAATTTATTACAAAGTGTTTATCCGAATATAGGGACTATATAAATTAACTTAGCGAGCCTTCTTTATAAGTTTTACAAGGCTAGCGATAAACTTGTCCTCGCATATTCAACTGAATTTTCTAAATTTTAAAACTAGATTCAAATATATAGTTTAAATTTTGTACATTGAAAATAACGAAGATGTGAAGTACAAAAATATGAAATACTGGCAGCATTACTCGCTTCGCTCGTGCCAAATACACGTGTGATTTAAATGCTGTTTACCGCACTTGTTGCATAATATTCTATTACCAAACTTTCTGCATAATATACTATTAACACATGATATTTTAAAAATTTGTTCTTCGCATCGTAGCGATATTTAGTAAATGATTTTAAAGTACAGAACAAATTTTTGATAATCGCATTTTTAAAATTAAAATTTGTATGTGTATATGGGATGACACAAGAGAGCGGTAATACTATAACTTTTAAATGGTATTGCAGGGCAATTTGAAATTTGACTGAATATAGGTCAAAGGTGCAATTTTTGGACACTCCAGAGGCTTAAGAGGAATCGACGGTAATTGTTGAATTTCAAATGGAAATACTATTTACCGAGCCGAAACTTTTTGTGACTTGTCCAAAGGAACCAATACATTACAGAAGCTTAGTCTCTGTGTATCAGCACGATTGCAAATTCTGATAATTGTTATATTTTTGTTACTTATTGGTTTTGCTGTGTTGTTGATTTGAATGATCATACTACAAATTGAGAATAAGGTGATATGCTACTGACATTAAGTTAGTAAAATTTTCAATGGCTGCGACAAACTATTTTGAGGTTATAGAGCGTTCCCACTTCCTTGTGTCATTCGATATATTGCGTATTAATTTAACAGCTTTTAAATTCTCACTTATTTTGACTCACCAACTTTCACATCAAACTGCATCAGGAAGGCTTCAATTATTGTGACACATTAATCCTACGTAACGTAAGACACAGAGTAGTAAAATTTGAGTTTGCTTAGAGTTGTTTCACTGTTCACTGCTGTTTCAGATAATGTATGCGAGATACTAAGGAGCAGATAGGTACATTCAAATAGACTTATTCACAAGGCGATACGTGCAGCAGTATCTTCTTTATCTCGGATACGAATATGTCGCAAACAGCATCTTCCTGTGAAAGACCTCTTAGTGTTCACTGTGATTTCGGAAGATCTACCAATTATTTTTCCTTGTGATATAATTGGCAGATTTTCTTCCTTTATTGAATAATTCCAACTCATTTTAACCAGTAGAATCATATGATTTTTAATAATTACAGCTAATTTTGGCCGAATCAGTATGTGAACCGACCCAAAAACATCGAAAATCTAGAATTTAACAAAGTAAAATAGGGAAAAAAATATCGCCTACTTGAAATTTGCATAAAAATTTTATGCGTGGGCGCCATGACACTTTATATATAAAAAAAATTGCACAAGTTCAAAAAAATCTGCGGAGACGCCGAGATAATGGAAAAAATGAGCCTTCATAGATCGATATCCTGGTCTAAACAACATTTTTATTTTTGCACATACATTTGTTTATTCATGCAGATTTTTGTAAAAAATTACACGAAAGCTTTGGTTCGCTCATCTGCAGCTTCCAGCACTTTAGTTGATATTAATGATAGTGGTAAAGTAGCAATAAATATGTTTTCCCATACGTTCGATAACATGAATGAATGTAAATGGTTGCCGGTGAAGGAACGCGTTTTTATGCCTATATTGTACGATGCATTTTTCTAGACACGCAATGCACAAGAGCCACTTTGGCACTCGATATTCTGCTCCCTTGGCAATATACCAGACAACGACCGCCTAATTAAGCCGGCAGTGAAGCAGTGTCGTTAATGTCGTGTGTCGTGTTTTGTGTCTCGTTTATTATCCACATTATACCAGGGCCTCGCATTGTTTGCGGTCATTATTAATTTCATCGGGTGCTGACCTGCTTTAAATGAAACCCCCATCTTACGCAGCATCAAATTGTTTGTGGCGACGCACACAGGCGAATTTTCCTCAAAAGCTGGCTGGAAATCAGAAACTGAAATTTAAAAATCTTGAGCTAAATGCACATTTCAGTGATCTAGTTACCTGGTTATTATAAATAAACAAACTTTTGTTTTGATTCGCGTTGGTACGCCCCATATTGTTATTGAAACTTGAAAGTTTATTAATCAGAGTGCATCAGTGTATATTTAACCATTTTTTCGAAAGTTGGTGATTGAAAAATAATAAAATTATAGTATAGAGCCTATTGCTAGTGGTAAGTAGAAGCATATAATTATTATTATCTATGCAATTATTATCATCTATGAATTGTTTTAATGTCACAATGGCGTCGCTTCTTAAAATACCTAAATGTTTCGTTTTCTTTGGACAAAAAGTACATTTCCCCGCGTTTCCCCATCTTCAAATTAGCATAGAACTCTTATTTAATATGTCCTTAAAAGGACATATTTTCTTATTTATGCGATAATTTGCGATCTTAATGGGTATCTATTTTTTAATTTTGGTAAAATTTACTATTGTAGGGTTTTTGAACATGCAAAATTTAAAAATGCTAATGGCAATATTGCCAGATTTACAGCTTTTTGAGAAGAAATATTTATATCCTAGACTATTAAGTGTTTTTTTAAAACCTGTGTTTGCCCTGAGTCATTTTAAAAATTTGTGAGACAGAAAGTTATTAGGTATCTAATCAGATTTTTTTTATAATAGACCAGGAATTATGAGATATGTTTTTGTACTAGATTTTCATAGACGCAACTGTACAAATTTCAATAGTCCATAAAAAGACTTGTCATAAAAAGTTCTGCTTGTTTATTGCCCTAAATAATAAGATTATACTTGCGAAATTCTTAATACTCAAAGTACTCAAATATCAATATCTCATCTCCGTTTTTACCCCTTTTCTCTAAAATATTTATGATTATGTTTTTGTAATATTATTTTTGTAATTACGTATACATTATCATAATTCAAGGTTAAATTTAGAACTGTTTTATGTTTTTCTTCAATAATACACATTGTTGGTGTTGTTAAAAAAAGTTTTAATAACTGTCACTGAAAAATAAATGAATTACGTAAAAATGTGAACAAGTAAGAAACTAAATTAAAAATGTTCTAACATCATTCTAAAAAAAAATTATTAATCAGTATATAACTTAGGTACGACTTTTCGAACACACTGTATATTTTTACGTGTAACGGAATAATAGTGTAAAATACTGTATTATCATTAAAATTTATACTTTTCTTAAATAAATTCATTATTCGTCATTTTTAGATATTTTTTAAGATAAATAATATTGGCCGGCATTTGATCAAATTCGCCTGTGTGCTACGGACGCAGTGCAAAATTAATATGAAATTGTTTATACATTTCCATTAATATGTGGCATGTCGTAAGGTAATACGAAAATACTCGGACAGCTGATCTTACTACCATTTCCTTTTGATAGAGAAAATGTGAAATATAAATAGTTTAGCTGCAAAGCTTATCTCGTTTTAGAAACCAATTTATTAACCGGAAAACGAAACGGAAACATGACATAAACAGACGAGTTGTGCAAAATGTAATGGAATCTTTTTTCGACAATTTAAATTGTGTTTCATTCTGTTTCAATATCATCTGTTGATATCAAATTCTAAAGATTAAAGTTAATTAAGGAACGGTAAGTATTTCACAGCACCCAACATCCTTGTTTTAAATGGTAAATAGTAAATGTACATTATTTAATTCTTGAATTTCTGACGAAACTTCGTAGACTGTTTCTTCAGGTTTCATCATTAATTTCTTATTATTTTTGATTACTTGATTTATTTACTGGATTATTCTTGTGATTCCGTTTACCACACAGAGGACCACCACAAGTCAATAATGGTCAAAATAATTAACTCCAATCGAGAATCCCGCAATAGTAAGCAACTGCAAAGTGACTATTTAGTTATTTCTGAAGCTATAGTTTTCGCATCGCTTTTCCAGGTTAAATAATAATAAAATATATTTTTTCCTCATTTTTCCTCATGATGAACCAATAAAGGGCCGAAACGCCAGCACAGAAACCGAGCAGATTACAGTGCTTCGGAAGAAAAATATATTTTTTTAAAAAACAAATTGAGTTGAAAAACATCACATTAAATTAAATAATACTACTTATATTAAGTCATTCTTTTCTGGACCTGTCCTATGAAAAATTCAGGAGACCAGACTAAAATGTTCTCTTTATATTTTATGTAATTCTACGAAATTAATTCTATTCGAATATTTAGCTGCCACTCACTTTTACCAAATCGAAAATCACGATGACAACTGACCCGTAAATCTAACATTAACACTTACGTGTAAATGGGAGTTCGTCCATTATCTTTTTCCTTGAACCAAACTACGATGTGCATTTTATCTCCTGCAACCGATGGGTCGATATCGCATGGCAGCTTCGCAATGCCCCCGAGCACGGCTTCCACTTCATAGATGCTCGAAGCTGAAAATAAAGGGAAAGGGAGAAAATTAAAAAACGCTGACGCATCGAAAGATCTCGATAATGATATATCGACGAAAGATCTGTGTCTGCAATATTTCGGGCTTATTAGTTTGACGTGTCATCATCTAAACAGGACAAATTTAATCAAATTCTAAACTAAAAGTTATGGTTTTGTTAATGCATTTTACTTTTACGTCTTGCGTTCCTAAAGTAAATTTGTATAAGGCACAACTTTAAAATTAAGCAGAATTGTTGTATAATATAATTCGCCGTTATATTATAACGAAAAAAATACTCTTTTAGATTCCAGTTTCAAATGTCACCCAACAATAGAGAAGGATTTGAATTTTTTATTTGTATCCCTGCCTGACTTTTGCTCACAATAATGTTGTTATTTCGAGGCTGCCGAAAATATTAACAAATAATAAGTTCGATTTAATCAAGCAAAATGGAAAATGCTGACCAGGATGTCCAAGCAAATATCCACATGAATACCAAAAAGATGATGTTAATCCTTCCGTTTTACAATCTTTACGAAGGATAGTGCAAAACTAAGATCAATTTTCATACGAGTAAGTATTGGTTAGAATCAGTATAGTACAGGGTTACAACCTCAAAATCAAACGTTTTTAAATATGATTTATTTTATTTAGAATAGTGGTAAACCTGCCTACCGAAACCAAATTAGTAATTAAATAATCAAAGTAAAAGATGCAATTACCCGAAGATTTAATTTAAGACCAAACGTAATACTTAATTACAGTAATTAGGAAATGTTCTTCATTTCTCATAAAGAGTTAAAACTCAAAAGTCATAGTAGCATATTAAGCATATGAATATGAAAGATCGGTGTACTAAAATGCATTCACAAAAGTGAATGGATTTGAGAATCTTGTTACCATTGAGGAATTACCGGAATCGTTCCTTTAGTGCACCGCACACGCATTGCCTTAGGCCCGATTGTATTTTTCGCTGATCGCCCTTTCTGAATTTATGATCTCTGGTCTATCGCCCCCTGTAGATCCTGGTCAGTTTCGCATCATTGAAGGGATTGCCACTGTGAGATAGGACAGACTGATTTATAACGGCCGAGGGAAGTTTCGGTCAACATTATTTTCAGACCGAAAGAACCAAACCTCTCATATTTTACTTGTTGGTTGCCTTCATAAAATTTGACTATGATCTTCAGATATATCAAAAATTTGATTTCGTTAATTCAATTAATAATTAACGTCTTAATATTAAAATTCCATCACACAACAGCTATGTCTGTGTCTTGACTGGTTTTTGGCTTATTTTATAGACAAATAAATAAAACAAATACTAATAACGAAACATTTACGGGCTAGTGAAGAATTAATCTGATGAAAGGATTCGTTTTAAATTATGTAACTTGCTTAGTTGCTGCACCAAATTTATATTTAACTCTAATTAAGCTTGTCTTCAGAATTGTTAGAGAGACATTTTCTCAGGATGGTCATAGTGGGCATGTAGCGTCGAATCAAGTCTTAACAATAAAAAAATTAAACTAACTCTTGGTATTGATAGTTTACAAGCAATAAATAATTTACTATAAAGTATACCATTAAGTATCTTTTAATAGCATGATTAATTTAATACATAATTGTAATATATTTTGTAAAATGTAAAATAGACATTACACTTGGAAAATGCTATGGCCAAATTGATGAAATTTTAAAAAGGGGTGATTTAAATATTAATTAGAAGCGTCAAAATAACAATACAAGTTTGCTTTATAATTTTCTTTATGCTTATAGCTTTAATCAGGTGGTAGCACATCCAATTCGGAAAGCATACCTTGACAGACACCATCGCGATATCCAATAACGATTTAATTGTAGGAAACGTTGCGCATCATAATATAATGATATGCATGATACAACGTTTTCTTGTACACTAAATTGCACCTTTCGTGAAAGACCACCAAAAATTGTAATCTTGTAGATTTCGAAAACGATTTGAAAAATATGAATTGTGCTTTTATTTTTGATGCTCCTAGTTTATGATAAAGTCAGTTTACTGAACAAATTGGTTATATCACTTTTTGTTGTACACGCTCCCCTTGAGAAAGCTCGTGTCACGCCAAAATCATGCAAAAATATCGTACAAACTATTAACCGAATATAAAAAATCTGGTTCTGCTACTGACCGGACGGCATATAAAGATAAAAAAAAGTTTACTCAGGCATGTATACCCGGAACGCTAGTCTAACTGAGCTTCAAGCATTTGAAATTTTAACGACCATTTAAACCGCTTTATTGAATTAGTTGCTCCAGTATTACTTTCGGCCGTTAATATTATTATTAAAAAGCCCAGGTGGCTGTGAATCTTATATATTGTGACAGTAAACGTCAATTAAATTAATTTTGCGGATTTATTTTCATGCGTTACATTAAAATATTCTTCAAAATACAATGTTTATTTTTTCGAATGAAGAATACGCCGAAATTCACTTTGGTTATGGATTGTGTAATGAAAACGGACGAGCGGCAGTTAATGAATATCTTTGACGATTTCCCTCTCGTAGAGTGTCTCGTAGAACTGATTTAGCAAAGTTCATCGATGTTTGAGACATACAGGGAAGCTTTCTACAGCTACTTCTGAACGTCCCGTTTAACAGGAACTTGCTCAAGAAGAGACAATATGCCGGATGAAAGTATGGAGAACTTTCCATAATTTCGGTTTGTACCCGTATCACATTTTACCTGTACAAGCTTTTAAACCTGCCGGGTACGCTTCAAGACTTGAATTTAGTCGCTGGATAATGTTACTCATCTTACCGAAATGATATCAAAGACACCAAGAAATCACATTGTTGGGCACTTGAATATCCATGACAAACCCGGGAATCCCATTTTTAATATTAATATTACTGGATGATGTTCCTCTTAATGTAAAACAGCGAATGTGAACAACTAATAAAGGGGTTCGTTCAAAATTTCAAATGCTGTTTGAATAGCATTCCAAATATATGTTCATTTGACATTTTTAACTTGTGATGACCCCCCTCAGCACACTCCCAAGCTATGGCAGTCATGTGGTGGGACACCCTGTATATCACAAATTAAAAAATAATTAGAAAATACCAATACTCCTGAATTCCTCCTGCGTCGAATTAGCTAACGTTTCGGTCACTTTAGCTCAAGCTCTGAAGAAACCAACAGGATGATTAGCGAAAAGGTAGCTAGATCGAGTCAATAAAAACCGACGCAGGAGGAATCCAGAAGTTTTATAAAAAGTATTACAGTAGCCTGTGGAAGTTTCTTTGAAAAATACAAAATACCAAACTTATTGAATAACCCACATTTCACAAATAATTTTTTCATTGGTTGAAAGTGTCGCTCCCCATCTAGAAGAAAATTTAATATATATTTATCAAAATAATCACACATTTGCAAATACAGTTTCGCTGCGACAGGTCAAGGACGTCGATACTGTGGAAGTGCTTAAACATGTAAGGTCTAAGGTTACTGGATCCGATGGGCTGGCACTATAAATGATTAAACTATGCTGTCCTGCTATTGTCCCGTTCCTAAAGTTAATTTTTAATTATTGCATAGTTAATTCTGTTTTCCCCGCACAGCGGAATACTACTATAATATAATACTGCTTACAAAGATTAGTAGAGAGAATCCCACAGAATTCAATTTTCGGACCATTTGATATCGAAAAGAGTGTCGCGGACTGTAACAACAGTTACGTATGAGATTCACCTCTAATGAAATTCACGCTTAAATGAAATTTTCCATCACTCTGCTCAACATGGTTTATTAATGCCTTAAGAAAAGACTGGGCAAATGCAAATGTTAACCTTAATAAGGCAAATATAGCTATTCCAGATGTTAATGAGGATTGCAAAGAATTCAGAATTCGTGCATTCGCTTTATTTTTAGCCTTAAGCCATAAAATAAAATATTTAAAATTGCTAAATATGGAAGATAGATTAAAGCTCCATTTGGCATACAATTCTTAGAAGCGGAACTCCGAAACATTAACGTGAAAAGCTTACTACTACAACAATATTATTTCAAACGTCCTTTTCTTATGTGGCTCCGAAACTGTTTAACTCTGAATTACGTAATTGCTTTTTTAACTTTCCATAAGCACTGAGTTTTACGCTTTCTTGATAATTAGTTGGTTAATTTTATTTATTATGTAGCACACTTTTAGCCGTAGTTTCTGAAAAAAATGTATTTTATTGTATATTTAGTATGTTTTGCATATTTGCAACTCATTTATTTACTCATTTATATTCATTCGGTTTTGTTTTGTAACTTGCTTAGTTCAGCAAACAGCTTGCTGCCCTTCGGCAAGTTAAAAATAAAGGCGTTTCTATTCTATTCCCTCAATTATTATATCTCTATATAATATATTACATATATTATATTATATATTATATTTAATATATAATATTTAATATATACATTTAATTTTTATTAAATTATTAATACCTATACTACAATTTCAATTAACCTTGGATTTTATAATTTAATAAAATATGTGTAAATATCAATATATTATTATTATTATTATTATTATTATTATTAATTAGATAATTCTTAAATTTAGATCTGAATGACGAATATGATTTCACGTTGAGGCATTGATCTGTATCTCAGAATGGAATATTTTAGAAGCCACATATGAGAAAGAGCGTTCAAAAATAGCCGGAGTTGGTGTTTGGGATGAGCGTCTCGGTGGTCAGTTGAAATACAAGTTCTTCTCAATATTTCTGAGAAAAACTCAAGTTAAACGGGCAAAAAACAAGCCAAATGCAACTTCACTGTCTTTTGCATATTAAAACACAAAAAATATTCAGGTTGCTGGATATATTTCAAAATTAATTAATTTTTTTAATTATCTGTATTTTCTCCTTGTACTGAACATTAATACCGGGGACGTAGACAATATCAGTGGAAAATAAAGAAATACTAGCATAGCTGTTTCTTTGATGACTGATTAAGTATATCTTTATATT